CAAGTCTCCAGCTTTTGCAACAATTCTCTTAATGAAAACAGCAACCTACCCAAATCCAGGCTCCTGTAGCACAAGAAGAAGATAAGAATACTTCAGTATAAGATACACTATTGGGTGCAAACAATAAGCTAGGCAACTCTAGAATGTGAAGAAGAGCCCTGATTATTGAAAAATTCTACTAAAGATGTAACACCAAACGAACAAGAATTTCGTATGCAATTGTAACAATAGCAGACAGATAATTAATGATTCATTGACTCAGGAGAATACACAACAGTTTTGAATGACTTAACAGAACATAGATAAATTGTTCACAGAATAAATGTACCATGTTTTGAGAATGTGAATTAATCAGGGAAGTAACGACAAATTAAAAGAAAAAACATGTTGATTGCCATATCTGGAGAAATTCCTTGCCATGGTAATTAACTTTTTCTCACTGTCTAATTTAGGTAATTTTTTTCTATTTTCAATCAAAAATCATCAAAGTAACTTTTTTATAGATGGTTTTCAAAAAGTTACGTGTAGATTTTTAACTATCATTTTTTATGCTAATTAAATTCAAAATTTGTGACAATCACAAAGTAAAAAAATCCAATATTTAAATATATCCATTTGAACTAACTTTTATGGGAATGGAGCCTTCTCACCCACTCTCACAAATTGGGCCCCAAATGTCATAACGCTCAAATACCTAAAACTTAATTATACACTACGCAAGCCCATATACCACATAATCCCTTCTTTACCCATTTTAAACGAAACATTAAAATATTATGAAAAAATATAATTTAAAATTTTAATTAAATAATATAATTTAAAAAAAATAAAAAATAAATTTTATATTTAATATATCAATGCAAGTTATAATATAATAATTTTTATTATATATTTTATACAAAACAAACAAAATATAAATACCAGCATTACCAGTAGTCTCCTCCCTCGTCAATTAAAAATTTCCAAAGATTTTGTTTTCTAGTAACTAAATACCCAAAATTTTTTAAGCTGCCAAATCAAACAGTAAGATCCCATCAATATCATCTCAACTCCATCGGACTTTGGTGCGAATAAAAATTGCCTACCACCTACTGCTATTGACAAAAGGCCTCAAGAGGACCACAAATAATATAATCACGAATCCAATTCTTCATTATGCTCTCACGTCCCACAACATGGAGAGAAGTGGGATCCACCAATCGTCACACCACGTCATCCCTCACAACATAAAGTAATTGATCATGGGTGAATTATAAAATGAAGTAATTTAACATATATATTTATAATTTGGTTTCATAATCAGAAATAATAAAAAATAATCATAACTAAGTAAGGGTGTGCAGTCGGTTAATTTGATTAATTCGATCTGAAAAAATCAATAACCAAATTAATCAATTTTTATTTTATCAATAACCAAACTGACCAACAAAATTTTAACTAATCGATTTAATCGAACCGATCAAAAATCGATTCGATTCGGTTAGTTCAGTTAAATAACCGAATTTTTCATCATTTTTTCTCTTATTTTGAATAATTATTTAGCTACAAATTCAATATAATAAAACTCAAATTGACATACCATTCAAACTAAATCACTAACAAATTTAATAATTTCTACAATATTTTACAAAAAAAAAGATAAATAAATACTCATTTAAACTTATTTAATCAAAATAAATTAAACAATAAGTTTTAAAAAGTATTACTTTAACATATATCAAATAACCAACAAAGCCATCAATACATAATAATTGTCATTTCAACACATAAACAAGTTTTCAAATATCAACAAGCCAACTTAAAAAAGCAAATCAAGCAAATATGCATCTCATAACTTTGGTGCAAAACATAACAGACATTTTAAGTTGACAAATTGAGCTAACAACTCATACAAAACATAAAACAAGCCAAGAACACTTCGAGTTGACAAATGGATATAAAAGTTCATAAAAAAACATAAAACAAGCTAATTAAAGGACATTCCAAGTTCTAACAGCATTCTTCATACATGAACCCCATAACTTTGGTGCACATCTTTCATTTTTTCCTAAAATGTTAAAGAGATTAAAACCTTAATTAGTTGTCAATGAATACAATAAATATTTTTTAAATGTAAATATTCATAGAAATTAATAATGAAATTACCTCAAAAGGTCATTACTGGATCTAAGGTAATTTTTGACAAATCTAAAAATATATAAACAAAAAATAACAAAAGTAAGCTTTAAACAAATAAAAAAATAAAAAATAATAATCCTTAAAAAATAAATGATAGTATAAATAAAATATTACCTAAATCCATTTTGTCAAGCTCTATCAAATCATCTTCAGGTTGAAATGAATCAATATTAGAAGATCTACGTAACCAATCTTGAGCACAAATAAGGGCTTGCACAATTTTAAGAGTTAAAGAGCTCCTATATGCATCAAACACACGACCACCAGTGTTAAAAGCAGATTCAGAAGCAACTGTGGATATAAGAATTGCTAACACATCACGAGCTAGATAGGAAAGGATAGGAAACCTATGGCTATTATGTTTCCACCAAATTAAAACATCAAAGTCATCACTATCATCATCATCAGGCCTCCTCACTCAAATATTTAGCCAATTCTTGATTTATGTTTCATCTTTGCCAATGTTCAAATCCTATACCTCTTGTACTTGGACTTAAAGTTTTTCTTTTTTTTTTGTCGTTCTATTTCCACTTTCATCAATCGTGGGCTGTGACATTTGGCTCACTTGACTACTTCCCACAACTTGCTCAAACTGAGGTTCTAACATTTTTTTGTATCATAAATAAGTCTCTATTGCTTGTTGTAACTTTTTTTTAATCATCAATGAAGCTTCCATCAAGAATACATTTTCAATGAGCTATTCAACAAAGGAAAATTTTTTTGAAGGATCAAAAGAGAAGCAATATAACCAACATATTTCATCTTCTCTATATTTCCCAATTACTATCATAATTATCCTTATCTCATTGCCATTGCATTCAACTCAACATCGGATTTAATTGCATTCTTGCAAAGTGGAATAAACATCACATATATCATCAAGAAAAGTATTAGATGTGACGTAAGAAGTACCTGAAACTTTCATGGTGAGATCATAAAATTGTTGCAAGAAAAGCCAAAACTTCCTAACAATTGCCCAATCATTTTGATCGGGTACCCCATCTCCCATCAAAAGCTCACTTCTATAATAAGGATCAACATCATCAAATGCATCAAATGCCCTTTCAAACTTTTGAGCTGCATCCAACATCAAATAAGTAGAATTCCATCTAGTGCTAACATCCAAACACAATAAACTTTTACTTTGAATATGTTCATTCACAATACACTCTTTAAACTTAGCTAACCTAGAAGGTGATTGTCTCACATATCTTATTGCCCCTCTAACACGAGCAATTGTTTCATTCATTTCCTTCAATCCATCACAAACAATAAGATTAACAATATGTGCAATGTATCTCAAATGAAGATATTTGCCTCTCAAAATACTAGTTTCAGCATTGTTAAATTTTTTCCTCAAATATGCAATTGCAACATCATTAGAACTAGCATTATCAACTGTAACAGTAAAAATCTTATCAATCCCCCAATCATGCAAATATTTTTCAACTGCCTTACCAATAGCTTCACCTTTGTGACTAGAAATGAGACAAAAATTTAATATCTTTTTGTTTAGTTTCCGATCTTTGTCTATGAAGTGAGCCGTAAGACACATATAATTGACCCTTTGTAATGAGGTCCATGTATCAGTGATAAGAGATGCTCTTGTAAAAGATGATTTCATGAATTGCTTCAAATGAGTCTTTTCATCAATATAAAGCTGATAGCAATCCCTAGCAACTGTCCATCGTGATGGTACATAAAATCTAGGACATACAACTAACATGCAATGCCTAAATCCTTCCGACTCCACAAATCTAAATGGTAACTCATTCAGAATGATCATTTTAGCTACAGCTTTTCTAACAGCATCTTGATTAAATTTCCAAGTGCCTAAAGATTCCACTCCTCCTGACGGTAACACTAATTCTGTTTGAGTACCATCATCCCCACTAACACGAAGAACCTTTTTACAAGAATTCATGTGATTCTTTAAAACGGTGGTTCCATTCTTTTTAGGATCAGCAAAAAATTCTCTGTCACAATAATTACACCTAGCTTTACAATTACCTTCCTCATTAACAAATTTAGTAAAGTGGTCCCATACCTCTGACCATGGCTTAGATGCTCGTCTCATCACTTTGAAATTTACAGTTGCACTTTTTGTTACCTCATCATATGCAGGAAGTTGAGAGGCCAATTGTGTTTGATTAGTTATAAAATTCAAAATCATATCATTCACTTCATTTGACATCTTCAAAAAAAATTAAGTGATCAAATTATATCCAAACAATAAAAAATAAATAATTAAATTATATTAAAATAATAAATAAAAATAAAATTTTATTCAAATAATGAAAAAATAATAAAGTAATATTCACACAATTATTGAACACATTGGATATTCAAATAATGAAATAGTTTGTTAATCAAACTATATATTAGTTGCTTATTTTATCAGCAAACAATGTAAGTGTCTAGCATAGTTTAGGCTAATTTATTTTAACTTTTAATTTAAGTATCTAGCATAATTTAGATTAATTAGTTGCTAGATCTAGTAAGAAAGTTAAAACTTAAAAGTGCTAGATCTCTGACAATAGATTTTTTTAAAATCTTTATTCCCGAATAGTTGTGTTTTAAACTTATTTCTCTATGTATACATCCAGTATTTACATACTCTACTTCAAGGTGTAAATCACTTAAACTATTTTTGTCTTTCGCTTGTGAGTTGTGGGACCATTCTTGAATCATCTTAGTCCATATCATTACCATGTTGCCATACCATCAGTCATCCCTAAATTACCAAAAGAAAGCAACAAAATTTGCATTTATTAAAGCTGCATCTCATTTCATAACCAAATGATCTCATCAATCCTTTGATTTCATTTCTTCTCATTCATTCCAAGTATGTTCTTCACACTTTTCACAGCACCCTGAGTCATGCCCTTCATTTGCTCTCCAGTCTGTAACAGTACGAATTCCTATTTCATTAGTTTCCTAACCAAAGCTCAAAATAACGTAAACTTTATCAATTGTCTGTTTAATGTACCCTAAAATGAGGTATTATTATTATTGAAAAGTAAAAGAATTGATGAAAGGGAATGACAGATAAAGAAGAAACCTGCTGAAGGAAACCAGCAGTCTGCTGTAAGAAACCAACAGTCTGCTGCAGGAAACCAACAGTCTGCTTCAGGAAACCAACAGTCTGCTGTTGTCCTTGCTGAGCAGACTCTTGAACTGATTGAGTAGCATTTGTTGCCTGGTCTCTAGCTGTATTTACAGTATCCTTATAACTGTAAAGCTTGAATTCTGCTTGGGGAATAGACTTAACTGAATCAGCAAATAAAATTCATCAATCTGAGAAAAGTGCACTTCACCACACATTAATTGGTTTCCCCAGTTGGCCTTCATGTTAGAAAATAGCATTTCCTTTTACTTTTTCTTGAGTCCACTGTCCACATCGTCTTAGTCCGAATAGTTGTTGCTTTCTTTTGGTAATTTAGTGAAGCAAGTCGAAACTGATAGAAACTGTTATTAAAAATCTTGCTCCCTTCATTTTTATAAGTTAAAGTGCTTTCCTCGACTAAAAAGAGTATTTTCACAACTTGCTACAGATACTGTAAAACCAACGTGGGGCGTGGAAGGTTTTGACTTTTAATCCTTTTGTTCCAGAACCTAGTCAATCAACTGGAGGAGTAAACAAGCCACTGAAAGTCTTAGACCTATTCCTTCCAGGCTAGAGATAGTGTCCATCTATCAAATCACTCTAAACAAGTAAACAACAAAAGGTACTGAAAAATACCAACAAAAAAAATATTACCGTAGGCACACCCTAGGGCTGAGGTTTGGCCGTTTGGGTTATGCTTTAGCTTAAAACATACAGGAAGAATACAGCTCTAAACATCACGCTAAAAGAAAAAATAAAGGTTATTAAGATTTAAGAACTTACGATGGCGTCTTGGGCAGATTGATCTCTACAACTGTGGATCTTGTGTAGCAAATTAGAGGGAGCAAAAGATTATGAGGCAAGTAGCCAAGCAAGAAAGTAAGAAGGAGGCAAAGATGCAAGAGATTGAAGGAGAGCAAACTACAAAGTGCAGAGACACAGTAAACTGCAACAGAGAAGGAGCAAAGAGCAGAAAAGGGAAACGGCTGGGTGGATGAGTTATAAAAAAGGTAAGTTAAATTTAGGTTTTTTTAAAAAGAATTTACATATTTACCCTTAGTTATTATAAGATCGATTAATTCGGTTAATTCGGTTATCAATTTTAAAAACCGATAACTGATCGATTTAACTAATTTAACCGATCTTAAAATTGATTACAACCAAAAACCGATTAAACCGAACCAAAATGACCATATTTCATAATTTCAGTCGGTTAAATCGATTAGAACCGATATATGCTCACCCCTATAACTAAAAAAGAGCTTTTATTTTCTTTTTTTTTTCACCAAAACTTCTAATTAAATTTTCAAAAATACTTTTAACACCCTATTTTTATTCATTACACCCTCACACTCTAAATTTAATATTTCATAAACAATCTAACACCTTATCATCCCCTCTTCACACCCCTATTCATTCTTTTTTCCCTTAAACCTATTTCTCTAAAAAATAAACTTAAAATCCAACTTAGATTTAAAAGAAATTCAAAGAAAATTAAGTTATAAAGCTTGTAATTAAAGGTAATTCATTTGTTTTTGTTCAAAAAAATTTTAGGTGAAATCGATGTTATGATTCATAGCTTCCAAAAATGTATTTCCTAAAGTTTTTTTAAGTTTTTGGAAGTGTATTTTCAAAAAATTAGAACTTCCAAAAATGCATTTTTCAAAATTTTTAAAAACTTTTTCATCCTTATATGCTCTACAATTTCAACTGCATAAAGTAATTCATGTATACCTCTCATCACACGACCATAACATTACTTGTCAATACCAACCTAATTTACTCGTTCTGCCTCTATAAATATCATTTTGAATACGTTCCTAGATATTAAGCCTCACAACTATTTAAATGGTGAAAGCTTATAATTATACTTGATAATTATAAGACCTCTCTCAAATGAAACATTTATCTTTATATGTTGTAACTTAATAAGGGTGTTCAATATACTCCATGATTATTAAAAATCTCTTTAAGATGATCCAAAGTACCTTTTCAATTTCTCATATACATTTTTTATCCTGAACGAATTAATAAAGATACATTAGAATGAATGTTTTGTTATGAATTATTCAAATTTAAATGACCTTAATAAAAAAATAAAATCATACCTAATTTATTGTAATATTTTCAAAGTACATTATTTTATCCATCCAAACAATAACAAATATGTCTTTATATTTTGTTAATCAATGCTTTTTCACATACTTAATTACACCTAGATGAGTCTAGTAATTAATTTCAATGAACTTGATGCCGTTCATACTCATCATGGGTAGAAAAGAACACAATGACACTCAAACCTAACATGAATGCCTCCTACTTTCTCTTTTCATTAAAAAAATTTCTTACAATTCGTAAATACATTTTTTAAGATATGTAATCTGCACAAAAGAATTGTTCTACTGAGAAACATAATATGTATTGCATTCATTAATGCAAAATCTTTGTCAGTAACAATAACATAGGAAATGTAATAGAAAGCATAAAATTTTTTAACATAAACAATGCCCAATTATAGTTGTCATAACGCTCAACATCCATGTACATAAATGTAATAGAAAATGTCATCTCAATGAAAGTCACTAATAATCTCAAATAAATAAAGATGATATCTATTTGTTTTATAAGTGCAATCCATAATCAAGAAACTAAGAAAAATATGTAACAAATATATACTAGTATGATGAGCCAAGAACAAGCCTCCTACACAATCGTTGAAGTATTTACAATTTTGTAACAAATATATACTACACCATTCATGTATTTACAATCGGATAACTTTTTTTTAAGTTATTCAGCTTTCTCAACATATATGTATCTTTTATGTTCAGTATATATGATTTTTATATTGCTTAAATTTTTTCATCATGTTATTTTAAGGTCAATAGTTTTTTTTTTTTTGTTTGACCATACTGTTTGATATATCAACTACTATTGCCTTTTTTTTGTTAGATAATCGATCTACAAATGAATGTCTCTCTAACTATTTTGTTAGTAAATGATTGTGAAATCCACAGGCTATTTTCACACTCCACTCATCATCATTTGCCAATTTAAACCTATATAACTAAAATGGGCAATCACAATTCTTCATTTCCATTCTCTTACGTTGCATTTCTTCTACATTTGTCTTATTTTTTTGCTATATGTATTTTTTATTACATTCACATGTCAATCTGATTCTAGGTTTTTTACCTGGACCTTCCAAATAAAAGTTTTTAATAACAACCATAAAATTAATATCTTTTTCAACTTGTCAATGTTTTCTTACTACAAAACATTGGTATAACAATTTGAATTATCACATTTTGCATCTATATAAATTAACATTAAAAACACAATCTTTATACCTCTCAAAGTTAACTTCAAGGACATAGTCTTACCTCTTCAATAATAAATAAAGAACTATAATCATATCTGGTATCCAAATTCTCTAGTGATTTATTTCACTCTATCAATGTAATTCCCACATTGTTCTACATGCTAATAAAAATTAAAAAAATTATTATTGATCTATTTTCAAAAAATTATTTTTACTAAATTTTACAAGTTTTCGAATATGCATTTTCATAACTTTATACTTCTTTTTGAAAATGAATTTCTAGTACATTGTATGCGTTTTTGAAATTTTATATTTGAAACTTTTCTATTATTTTTGAAAATTACTTAACAATATTGGATATTTATATTTGATAACATAAAGATCTTTTCAGAAATTCATTTTCAAAATCATAAAGAGATTTTCAATCATTCATATCAAATTACATAAATATTTTTGAAAATGAATTTTCGAATACTACACTTATGTTCTAAAAATGTATTTCTAAAATGTATGAATTTAGGTTTAACACCAACTTACTCGATTGTCTTGTTCGAATTTTCATTATTTCATATGGTTTTCTCAAGTTCACTTTTAGTTTTGACAATGTACAAGTTATTACACGTACATTTATAGATTTTGAGTAGGTTTTTGATTTGGTATGGATGGTTGCAGGAAGAAGAAAGAAAAAAAAATAGAATAGAAGATGGTAAAGAAAGGTTTAGGGAAGACAAAAAGATAGTTCACTAATTGATATTTAAGTAATTTAATTTAAGAGCAAATTTGTAATATAATTGGTGGGGCGTATAAGGCAATTGTTGAGGTGTCAATAGAATCTTTTTTTTTTTCAAAATTATTTTTGAGTGAGATTACTTAATTACCCTTTTCAAAGTAACATTTCCTATTTTTAAGCCTGATTTGAAAATCTAAAAACTTTTACAAGTTTTTAAATTTGTAAATCCATAAGTTTTTAGAAGTCTCTAAATTTGCAAATCCAAAAAGATTTGCAAATCTCAAAACATTTAAAAATCTCTCAATTTCCATATCCAAAACTTTTAATAGTTTTTATCTCTGATAATTAAAATTAAGAAGAAATTCAAAAACCCATATATTGTAATTAAGTGCTCTTTCTATTAAAATTATAATTTTTGTCTATCAATTTGTAAATGAGTTTAGAATTATTTGAAACAAATTATGTTTTTTCTTGTAATATTGTAAAAATTTTTCAAGATATGAGATTTTAATCCTCAACTGAATTTCTGGGTTTTGTTGGAATCCCAAAAAAATTAAATAAATATTTCTTTGTTAAATTAAGATGATATTGATTAAATTGATTTTGTTGAAAACTTTAAGCGTAACTTTTTAAAAAAAATTTATAGGATAAGTTATATAATTTATTGAATTTTCATATCCTATAAGTTATAAAATTTGCCAAATATGCATATTGGAAAACTTTTAAGACTTGAATGTAAAAGGTAAATAAATATTTCAATTAGAGATAATTTTGAAAAAAAAAAGGTGTAAAACGCAAAATTGTAGGTGCAATTAGAAACTTGGTGTGTAAAACTGATAAAAAAATATATATAATTACTTTTATAACTTCAATTCCAACTGTGTAAATTGTAATATCACATCCACATCATAAGTTAATAAAAAGCACATTATAAGCACATGTATATTAAAAAATATGTATATATGATAAAAAAAAAAAAGTAATTGCAACCCTTAAATATTAAGTCATATTTATTAGATAAGATGATGAATATAATAAAATAATAATCATTTTATATCATACTTGATTTATATTTAAAGAAAGTAATAAAATTATAAAAAGATTTAATAATTTTTTTGGTACAATATGATTCAATCATTTCAAAGTAAAATTAATTATTTTTAAATTATCTCAAAGTGAAAAAAATTATTTTTAACTCATAAAATTAAATTTATATGTCTTATTTGACCTTTTAAAAATTAAATTATAATTTAAATTATATAATTTTAAAAAAATAATTTTAACTAATAAATAAAATTATCATATCTTAATATTTACACATATTAAATATAAAATAAAATAATATTATTTAATATAATCATATTTATAATATTATTTTATTTTATTTTATCATAATATTATATACTAAACTTATCGAATCATAATATAATTGCAATTTTTTCTACATTAATTCATATATTGTCAGATTTTTAATTAATTATTTTTGTCAAGGTACTAACAAAATATTTCTGTTAGAACATACCATTTTGTAATTCTCCCCGTACTCATCGCCTCACAAACCTCTCAAAATCTCGTCCAACTAAGTAAAGTTCCAGTAATAATCCAGTGTCTATCAGTGAAGCGAAACCATGAAACCCAAAGCACTCAACAGTTTCTCTCTTCATTTCTTCTTGGCCTTGCTATGTACAGCGGCGGAGCAGGAAGCCCCAAACAGCGGCAGCATAGTTTTTACTACGCTGGGCCGGCCAGATTATGCTTGGGACATCTTTACTCTTCCACCTTTGGACCCACCAAATCCTTCAAATGAACTTCAGATAACCGACGGTGAATCCGTCAATTTCAACGGCCACTTTCCGTCGTCCCCACCGTCCTCCATCCTCTCGCTCCTACACAATCGAACCCTCATTCAACCCCGGGGTCCAGGAGCTCCTCCGCCTCTCCAGCTCATCTACGTAACGGAACGCAACGGGATTTCAAATATTTACTACGATGCACTTTATTACGGTGCACAGCCGCGAAGTGCCAGATCGAGATCAGCCCTTGAAATTCCCGTACGAGTTCAAGCTCCTTTATTGGGTTTAGAAGAAAGCAAGAATCGGATTTCGATGAAAGATAGACCGAGTTTGAGTGGGGAGAATTTGATTTACGTGTCAACTCATGAGGACCCGGGTGAACCGAGAACCAGTTGGGCTGCTGTGTACTCATCTCATTTGGGAACTGGGTTGACTCGACGACTCACTCCTTATGGAATTGCCGATTTTAGTCCCGCCGTGTCTCCTTCTGGGGTTTGGACAGCTGTGGCTTCGTATGGGAGTAAAGGATGGGATGGGGAAGTGGAAGAACTGAGTACTGATATTTATGTTTTTTTGACTCGTGATGGGACTCACCGAGTCAAGGTTGTTGAACACGGTGGATGGCCGTGTTGGGTTGATGACTCGACTCTTTATTTCCACAGGAGAAGTGAAGACCAGTGGATAAGTGTTTATAGAGCGACTTTCCCTAAAGATAAACCGGTTTCTATTGAGTCAGTGACGATTCAGCGAGTCACACCACCGGGTCTGCACGCGTTCACCCCAGCTACTTCCCCAGGTAACCATAAGTTCATAGCAGTAGCTACGAGAAGGCCCAATTCCAGTTTTCGACACGTAGAGGTGTTTGACCTTGTTAAAAACGAGTTTATTGAGCTAACTCGACACGTTTCTCCTACAACTCACCACTTAAACCCGTTTATATCACCTGACTCAACCCGAGTTGGGTACCATAAGTGCAGGGGAGAAAGTAATATAGGAAAAACTTCCCAACTATTGCTTGAAAATATTAAAAGTCCAGTGCCAAATCTCTCTCTTTTCATTGTCGAAGGTTCATTCCCTTCGTTCTCATCCGCCGGTGACCGTATAGCCTACGTGGATTTCCCGGGTGTTTATGTAGTGAACCGGGATGGTTCGAACCTACGCCAGGTTTTCCCCTTGAATGCTTTTGCGACCGCTTGGGACCCGGTTCGAAAAGGAATAGTCTACACAAGTGCTGGACCGGAGTTTACAAGTGAGAGTACCGAGGTTGATATTGTATCCATCAGCGTTGATGATGCTGACCAATCAAATTTTAAAAAATTGACCATTGACGGAAAAAATAATGCATTTCCCTCACCATCACCCGATGGTAAATGGGTCGTGTTCAGGTCAGGTCGGACGGGTCACAAGAATTTGTATGTAATGGATGCGATCCAAGGGGAGATGGGTGGGCTTCAAAGATTAACGGATGGTCCTTGGACGGACACAATGTGTAATTGGTCGCCTGATGGTCAATGGATCGTGTTTGCTTCAGATCGGGATAACCCGGGATCGGGGAGTTTCGAGTTGTATTTGATTCACCCGAATGGTACTGGCTTACGGAGACTAGTCAAGAGCGGGTCAGCCGGGCGGGCTAACCACCCGTCATTTAGTCCGGATGGAAAGAGTATAGTGTTTACTACGGATTATGGAGGAATATCAGCTGAGCCAATCTCAAACCCACATCACTATCAACCTTATGGTGAGATATTCACAATTAAATTGGACGGTTCTGATTTGAAGAGACTGACCCACAATTCTTATGAAGATGGGACCCCTACGTGGGCCCCAATATACATCAATCCAGTTAATGTGGAGTGGCCAAAGAGGCCCCAATGTGCTTTTGAGGATTGCCATTGGCTCAATGAAATGCCTAAGGTGGAACCATCGGGGTTAGCCAAGCCTCAATGCGGTGCATGATACCAAGCTTTTCCTGCATATGTAAAAGAATAATTGTGTGCGTTGGATATTGTAAATTTGTATGGTGGAAATAGTACTGGGGCACCATAGGGACTTTTGTAATTCTTTGGTGCTTTTTTTTTTTTTTTGGTGTATTATATTTGTCTATACTATTTACGGAATCAACTTTTTTATCAAGAGAAAGAATCCATGAACAGATGATCTTGGATCTGGCACGAAGAAACTTTTGTAGCCCTGTCAATTTTAAACAGAAAAAAAAAAAGATACGATATAAAATTAATATAAAAAATATAAAAATAATATTATTTAAAATTTTAATAAAAAATATATAAATTTAATAAAAATTAAAAAAATATATATTACGTGTTTATAAATTTAATATAATAATTTTTTTTATATGATATGAATATAATAAAAATATAAAAATTATTAAATTTATTTTTGTGCTATTCTTAGCCAGGAAAGGCAGAATTTGGGTGCAATTTCAAGAAGGAAATTTACGAAGAATGAATTTATTGAATTTTTGACGAGACGAACGGAGCTTATAATAGCAAACAAAGCAAGAAACAAGACATGCTAATGTATTATTATTTTAATATTTTCAAATATATTTTAAAATTAAATAAAAAATTTTATCACTAAAATAATAATACGGGTCAAAACGGGTATAAACCCCAAAATTTTCTCAAGGAATCGGCCCGTGAGCTTGGCAGACAATCCAGCACATGGATGACAGATACTTTAAAGCAACCTTGAATTTCATAGGGCGATTCATATATACAAGTATAGTATACCCTTTTGGATGAAAGAAGAAGGTTTTGCAATTTTCTTGGAGAAGATTACATGGAACTTTTAAATGAGGAAAAAAGGATCGCTTATAGGATATTTGTACTAAACAAAGCATGAAAACAAACTCTTGCCCTAAATTATGAATTATTATCTTAGTTACTTCATGAATGTCAACATTTTGAGAATGATTGATAATGCTTTGGCATGAGTTGCAAATTTATGAGAATGATGAATATATAATCCTTTGGTTTATTTATCAATTTACTATGGAATCGTACAATTTTCTTTTTTTCTTCCCAAAAATTGAGCTATATTCAAAAGTTTTCCTGTTTAACTATTAGTAGGTTACCTAGAAAATTATATGTTTTTAACGAAAAAGGAACTAGTAGTCAAATTTTCCCCAAGAATTTCTCATATCAATTAATAAAGTCTTTTTGGCTGCACATATTAAAAGCATTAAAATCTGTTCATGCCACATTAACAAAATTAACTATCAATGTTAATTCGAGATATTAATGTAATAACAAACTGAAAGTTTAGATAATTTATATTTTTACGTGTTATCTAATTAATTGAATATGCTTCCTCCGTTTGAATTATATTGATTTTTATAGAATTAAAAAAAATGTAATATTAAAATTAATTTTTTATAAAATTAAAGTTTTATAATTTTTAATATTAAAAAATAAAAAATATAAAAAAATAATTTTAAAATATAAAGATTAAGAATTTTAAATGTTCAAAAATGGAAAAAAAATATAATTTTAGAACATTCAAAAAAAAAAAAAAGATTGGCAAAAAAATGGGAGAAAGAGAATATTAATTTTGGTGATTCAACGCTTCCTGCTATGTTCTAATATTATTAATTTTGGTGAATTTGCATTGTGTAATGACAGTAGTCTATAATTAGACTTGGTGCAACTATTTATTTTGGGATAATATCTAAATAAGTTAGGGAACTTCACTTGAAAATAAAAGAAGCACTTGATTTTTTATTACATAAAATTAATGTCATAAAACTTTATTTTATTGTAATTAAATTATTGACGTTATTATTTAATTTTAAAATACATTAAACATATTAAAATATTAATAAAAATCTATTAATGCAGTGGAAGAATGGATGCAAGAAAAAGGAATTTTTTGAGGTTAATGGAGGAAAGGAATCTCGACCAAGGGAAGAATTGGATGGCTCAACATGCCAAACAACCCTGCTGGTCCAAATATCTTTTTTTTTTTTTAAATCCAAATTCTAAAATGTAACTCTAAAGTTTATATTGCGTGTATTTCATTATATTTGTTTCGATATGAGAGATTTAGTTAGGAGGGGGAAGAAAATAAATAAATAAATATACACAAATAAAAGGAAAATAAATACAATTAAAAAGGGGTAAACTAAAAAAAAAATTACATGGAGCAAAATTTGGCCACATGGACAACGAAATGAACACCACATTGATTACACCAAACTAAAATTAAGGTTTTTCACAATGGAGGATCCTAATTTGGGTATCTGATCTAAATGAAAGTGATACAGGGTGAACTCCTCAACTCATGACAGTTATGGAACAGTTAATCCAACAAAGTATTGGAACAGTTTCGTTGATATCGAATGCGATCAGTTGTGGAAGAATTCTGAAGGTATTGAAGGGGGGCAGTACTTCTTTGCAACACTTTTGTACTGATCAGACAAAACATAACCACAAAGTTTCAGATTGGACATTTCAGCTATGCAGCAAATAACATTTTAAAAAAGCTCCTAAAACTGTTTAATATTATTTGGTCATAGTAGTAACAATGAGCAATTTGGTGTAGCCAGTCAAACTTTTTGTTTACCTTGTGCTGATTGTATTTCTCCCTGATTGCAGGTAAAGTAGAATTGTTGTTGTTACAGCATAATCTATGAAGATCCTTAACACAGTCACACAGATCAGAGGGCTTGTAATGTATGTAATGTTGCAAGGTAGAATTCTGCACCATAATTAATGTATATCAGACTAGTAAATGTCAAGAAAAAGAGCAAGAAGAAGCTGTTTGCTCATACCCAAGGTCTCTTCGATGGAAGAAGAACGAATTTGGCCAGGAAAATCGCGGAAGCTGCAATAAGTGATGGAGCATAACAAAGCATACTGTACTCGAGTAGAGATAGTTCAGCGATGTAGTTGGCCATGCACTCTAATTGCATTGATGGAACCTAATTAGAAAAGCACACAATCACCGTAGGCAATCAAGGCGTTAGGATTGGAAAACCAATTATTAATCAATGGAAATGACCATGATTTTTTTTTCAATTGACTGCCACTTTAAACATGCTCACAGAACCATTAAACATGGTGTTATTATGTCTGTTTTTGCAGAGATATTACTTTTGGTGTAATCTATAACTTTCATAAAACCATAATCTGTAAATTTCATAAAAAAACACTTCATATTACGGGTTCAAACATTGTTTTTAAAAGTAGGTGATGTTATTTGCATATGACAGAGGAGAGACAGAGGAGCCAGAAAATGTAGCACTGAAAGTCAAAGGCAAATACCTCATTGATCCCTTGAGCAGCACGAACAAACCGTCTGAATGTCATAGCAATGATCACAAGTTATTACAAGAATGGTAAACATGAAATCAGGAAGTATGTTCACTAATGGGAGATGTTAACTGGTGCCTAGGGACACTGGTTGCAATGATATTTAATGAAAAAAAAATGCATTTAATGCATTACTTTTCTTGAATTTAGTAAAAGTAGTGCATTAAATGTAATAAAACAAAAGAAACTTTTTTAAATTAAATTACAATGATATTTTATAGGCATCTGTTAGCCGAGGAGCATTTCACCTATAATTTTTTTTGTTACAATCATACAATTATCCAATCACAATAAAAAATTATGCACTAGTCCATCACTTCAAAGCGTGGACTCCATATAAAATTTTGATGGATTACATAGAATTATGAATTGTAATTGATTAATAGTAGTACAATGATTGTTGGTGATATGCTTCCGATTAACCAAACCCTTCACTAAGAATGAGCTACAATTACCTTAAGAAACATTTAGCTGTGGGGGCAGTCATTTCAAATTTCAAGTAATTCAAGACAGAAGATTCCATTTCTAGAACCTGTTAATAAGTAGAAAGATTAATGCCTTATTCACATTTGATAAAGTAGTATCTTAGCAAAGAAGCATCTAACAAATTTATAGTTCAAATTAAGGATAACAGAGGCCAAACCTCCTCCTTCAAATATGTATTATCAGTGATGTAGCAAAACTCCTCCACCTGAGGTGCGCAAACCTCCTCATATTTTCTGATAAATTAAACGCTCAAATGTTGACATTGTATCCGTGGAAAACTTAGATGAAAACTGAGATATGATATATATTCAAAGAAACAAAAGAAAGTAGGAGAAATGTTAGTATTTCTTACCCAGCAATCATCATGCAGGCAACACCAAGCAACTGTAGCCGTTGCCTATTCATCATATTCCCCGAAAGATACCGATCTATGTAGTTCACTGTCAAATATAATGTATCGGGTACAAGCCTATACTCTTCAGCCACCTGCAGTAAAAATTGAAAGTTTAGCCTTAACAAAAGAAAACACTATCATCCTAGAAATTTTAATGGAAGAAGGTACTGGCAGCAGAAACTATGCTAGCAGAAATAGTTGTTGAATCTTGTTTATTGGATTCTAAATAACCATACAACTTTATAAACTGACAGAAAATTACTTCTACAAGCCAATCAATTAGTATTGCACGCATGTTGGAATTTATGTCTTTCTGAATTCTCTCCATGAAGTCTGTGGAAGGTCTTTTCTTCACCTGAAAACCAAAAGAAACCATAAATTTTAGGAGCAAATTAAATAAGGTAAAAGGAGGCAAAGCCTGTAAAAGCACACAATATGAACCAGAGCTTTCCAATCCGATCAGGAAATAGTATCTTGCAGGACAGGTTTCTCTTTTGAATACTTCAATTTTAACATCCAATATCTTAAGAATCCCACTTGAGAATTTGCAAGACATTATACATATGTAATCTTGGGGTAACCTTTAATGTTTCTCAGTCAAAATAGTGTTTAACATGATGTATATATCTTTCAGTCTAAAAACTTTCCTATACATTTTCTGATTTGGCCTGGTAGAGCTCTGCCTGTTTGTTAACCAAATCTTCAAACACATAAATTCGAGGCAGTAAAAAGATGGGAAACCTCAGATGCACGTAGGTGCTTGTAAATATCACATGCAAATGTCGCACATAGCTGTGGATCCATGTAATTGTCATCGACATCAATTATCTTATCATCCATTTCCGTCTCTGCTATTGCATCTCTATTGCAGATATTTCCTGCAAGCTAATCAGTTAGAAACTAATTGAGTATATCAAGAAAAAGTTTAGAGCCAATGATACCGAACCTGTTGCTTCTACATGGTCCGAAATGTAGAGATTGCTGAACGTCTTTCGTTCAATGGAATCAATCGCTGTAACATCACGGTTGTCCATATATTCAACATCAGGGCTTTTGAAAGAATCACAAGTAGACATTGTCTCATCCATAGAAACCGATACACCATCTGATTTACTAGGAGAAAACTCCATACTACATGGTGGAGGAGGGATACCAGAGCTACTAGGAGGAGGGAACACCACTTCATTTCCTCTATGAAAAGATGTGACAACCTTCGGAGGCAAAACTGAAGAGGGTCTTACATTTGCAGAAGGGAAAACATGTCCTGAGAAACCTACATTACTAGCAGGCTGTGTCTTCCTTGCCTTGGGGACTTTGTTTGAACCTGGTACCTTCAAATTTGAAATTGAAAATAAAAAATCAGAACCTGAAGCACCCAAGAACACAAAAATCAAATATATAAAATATACATTAGTTTAGCTCCATAATCAATAAAACCACAGCTTTCTGCTTAAATGTAAACAGAAGCAGCTTCTAGGCACAGTTTTTAACTGGATTACCAATTTGCCTAAAATGCGAATTAAGAAATAAAAGGTTCCAAATTTGAAATTAGACCTTTAGCAACATTGAGTACAAATTTTCAAGTTTGATCTGATTTTTTACTTGGCTAAAACTTTCTCAACCGGAGTAACAAAAATAAAAAAAATAATGATAATCCAATTTTTTTCTGCTCATAATTCTTATTAATTTAAAAAAAATCCCGGAAAAAATTCAATGTTACCATCAAGTTCAAAGAACAATGTAAAATCCAACACTTCAAAAATTTCACCACTTTCTGTCTTCAATTTTCCTACATTTTCCGGAAAACAAGAATCCAGAAACAATGACCAAGAAAAAAGAAAAAGATACATAACAAAATTTCTTAAAAAATTAAATATGTAGAAAAAGAAGTTAAGACCCACCAAAGAAGAAACCGCAACCGAGCTTCTTGAGGTATTCTTTTGGTTAGTGATGTTAGTAAGAGGGACTCTCTTTTTAGCCAAAGAAGAGGCGACTTTTCCCACATTCTCAGACGATGATGCATGTCGTTTGGCTAAAGACGACGTCGTAGATGACGAAAACGACGATCGCCGAATACCATTTTGCTTCGACATTTTCCAGCTTTCTTTTTTGAAAGAAATTTTTGTTGGGGTTTTTATTTGTGAGGTTCTTTACTTCTTTCTTCTTCCTCTTCTCCTTGCGTGTAATTATTTTATATATTCTTAATGATCCTTTTTAGGCGGGGGTAATTGGGTGATTTGAAATGTCGAAAGATCCTGACCGTTGAATACATCGACAATTCGTTAGGAGCGCAATGTGGGGACTACTGTCTCTGTTCGAAGTTTTATTGAGCTGGGATTTTTCTTGTCACTGCCACCAATGAAAAGATGACACGTTTCCGTACAAGGTTGGGGTTTGGTCTTTTCATTGGTTTGGGTGGATTTGATTAGTTGGTTGTTGCGACAAAATCACGGCTAGGTGGTTTAGGTTTCAGGTTTTTTTGAATTCGAATTTCAAACGGTCACAAGATCTGTCTTCATTCAATACTAGAAAGGAAGTATTTCGAATTCTTACCAAATAATTGAGGCTTTCTATATACACTTAATCTTATGCCCATTATATTATATATGTAAAATTCAAATTCAAAATGGGACTTTGGTTTATGACGTTGCTCTATTGAAGTTATGGATTCTACAAATCATATTTATACTCCTGGGTTTAAAAATATTTGTGAAGATAATGTTTAAAATATTAAAGACAAAATTAAATTAATGGAGGCATGCGAATTCTTTGGCACATACATCAGCTAGAGTAACATGTTCTTTTGGACATCAAGTTATATGAGAAGGGTCTTTGCCTGACTGTATGACAAATGATGATGTTAATTTACTTTAATGAATGGCAAGACTTTTAATAAAAAAAAATTACATTTAAATTTCTTAGTTAAATAAAACAAAAAAGGAAAAATCTATGTTTATTTTCATAATTAAATGAAATCAAGATAAAATAGCAATTACTATTATAACAACATACTATAAAAATGTTACACCACTCCTCATTTGTTTCATTGACAATGAAATATATAAAATCTACAAGATTTTTTTTCCTCATTAAAGATATTATTTGAAGACAATAAATATAAAATTTAATTCAATTGTTTCATACAATTATCATTAAAAAAATAACATTTAGTAAATGTATAATTCAAGTTTCGATATGTGCTACCTCTATTCCCATCTTCGAATTGCATCTTCCATTGTAAAAAAATTAATGCTATGATCATGGTTAGTCTTAAGTTTATGGTCTTCAAATACAACAATATCTTAGAGCCCTTTATACTATATATAAAAGTTTATATATTAAGTTTGGAATTCTAAGGTAGAATAGAGTTAGAGTAAAAAGGTCATTTCTCTTTTTTTTTTTTATGGTTCCTTTAGATGGGTGAAGTTTGATGCATGATTGATCCATAGGAATGCATACATGCAATGCACATTTATACACAGACACTTGTGATTTCTGTATTTATCATTTTAGAAATTCCATTTTGAAGTTATCGTGGAGTTGAAACTTTAAGTGATTGGTGATAAATGTTTTATAACCTTGAATCTGTTTAACAACAAACTTTTATCTAAAAAATGTCACTTTATCATTGAGGTTATCCTCCAAAACTCATTCCCACTTCTATAAACAGGAGTATAATTCATTTTGTTTTGAAGGTGCCCCGTACCTTCAAAGTTGCCAAGAGTAAGGAAACTTCTACTCGCAATCAGGATAATCGAGTTTGGAGTCACGTGGTGGTGTTTCTTGTATGGATACAATTTGGACGAGAGATGCGCATATACCACAAACGTTTCAGGTCTTTCTTCTCCAAGCAGCATGTATGCGCCTAGAAGCATAGATATCTCTCCTTGTAGATCATTTTGTGGTTCAGTCTCGGTGGATGAGACCATGTCTACTTGCTATTCTTTGAAGAGCCCAGAGTTTGACTATGTAAAGAATGAGGATGACACAGCAGTTAAGTCGCTCAAGAGGAAGGCAAACAACAATTTCTACTTATCAGACTAAACACAGGAAGAAGGTTTTAATTTTGCTTAATGCTGTCATTTTGTTTGACTGTGAACTAAAATTCCTATAAATGGTGATGAATATGTTAGTTTAGGCCAAAATATTATAATCAATTTACTTGATTTGGAAAATGAAATTAGTAGTATTATATTTATCTCCTGCCTCAATGTTCTTCCGTTAACCAACCTAAGGTAAGATTTCCAAGATAAATATACTTTAGGAGATGGGACCGAATGATAATGCTTCTGTTGTTGATAATGCTTCTGTTGTTGATAACACTTCCACAGATCCCCAGTTTTGTGCACCCCTTGCTCATGAAATTTACAAGAACCCACTTGCATCTGAGGTATACCATCTTTTTTTTTTTTTTTTTATCCTGCCATTGATAGGCTGTTTGCTTCATAGTTAGTTGGATTCCTATGTAGTGTCACTTGAAAAAAAAAAAAAAACTCAAATACATAGTTAACTTTCTGTGTACTTACAAAACAAGACTTATATATGTATTGCTTGGTTTCTAGTTATTTTTCTGATCTTCTTTTAGATGTTTACTTTTTTTTTATGTACATGGAATTGAATTTGTTGGGTCTGAACCAATAAACACAATAATGCAAAAATTATATATCACAATAAATCTACAGTAATAGACAATAATCAACAATCAACAACACGGAAAAAATAAAGTACACCAAAATTTACGTGAAAAATCCTCCGGTGTAGAGAGAAAAACCATGGACCATTAAAACAATCTCCACTATCAAATAATGGATATACAAAGTTATTCTTTAGCTAAAACTAGAGCTAATCAACAACTAAAAAGAGACAATTAGAGAAATCTTATCAAATAGATGACTCAACAAATACACATTGGATTTGTTTCTAGAGAGTTTAAAATTCGATCTTCACCGTTCAAAATGAAAAAATCTGAATCATAAACCTACTGACAAAATTTTAGCTCAATCGAACCACGGATCAACTTCCGTTCAACCAACTCTCCCTTCTTCCTTTTCTTTCTATTTTTCTGGCTTTCCTTTTTTCTTTTCTTGGTTTGTAACACCACCTTAAAACAACTCCACCTCTTTTTATTAAGTAGTTAGGGTTTTATATAAAAAGAAAACCAAAGCCCATGACTTTTGATTGGTCCAAAATCAATTACATGGGGTTGGACCTTACATATCCTAACAATCTCCCCTTCTAACCCCATTAGGAAGAGATTCATAATCATAGCAGTTTCATTTGAAACTTACCTTGGCTAAAGAACTTATTCCGGTCAAGTTACTACAGAACTCAAGCTTCTCCCTGAGAAGTATCTTAGTCAACATATCTGCTACATTCTCATCAGTATAGACTTTCTTCAACAGCATCTACTATTCCTTAATAACTGAACGTAACCAATGATATCTAATATTAATATGCTTTTGTTCTAGCATGGTACATGACATTTTTACTCAAATCTAAAGTACTCTAACCATCACAAAATATCACATAATTTTTTTATTCAACTCTAATTTAAAAAGAAAATATTTCATCTAAAATATTTCTTTACCTACTTTGATTACTGCAATATACTTAGCCTCTGTAGTTGATAAAGTAACACACTTTTGTAACTTAAACTGCCAAGACAGAGCTTCTCTTGTAAAAGTGAAAAAATACCCAGAAATAGATTTTCTACCGTCAAGATCACCTGCCCTATCAGTATCAATAAACCCTTCTATAACTAATTGTGAAACTTCATAACTTAAACACATTTTTAAGGTATCCCTCAAATATCTAAAATTTATTTCACTGTTTCACTGTTTCCCAATGAACCTTTCTCAGATTAAAAAAATTTTGCTCACTATACCAATTGCATAAGCAATGTCAGGCTGTAGACAAATCATAAGGTACATTAAATAACTGATTGCAGAAGAATAAAGAATACTAGACATAGCTAACTGCTTTTCCTTAAATACCGAACAAGATTTCTTACTTAGATAAAAATGGTTAGTAAGTAAACTGCTAACTGATTTAATATATTGCATGTTGAATCTATTAAGCACACATTCAACATATTTTTTTGTAACAACCACAGCTCTTATATCTCGGATAATGTTCATACTGAGAATATGCTTTGCTAGACTTAAATCCTCCATGTCAAAAGACTTAGATAATTATTTTTTCAACCTGCAAACTATACCAATATTTTGTCCCACAATCAACATATCATCAACATATAATAAAAGAATAATGAAGTTACCATTAGAGAATTTTTTGACATACACATAAGGATTCGCTACCATTCTTTTATAGCTATGGCTCACCATAAAAGAATCATTTCCAATTTTCTTTATTCACCACAACCTACGTAAACATATTTTCCCCTGCTTTGACTGCCGCAAAATTTGTAAATGGAATCTGCTGTGCTGATCAATTTCTTGAAGTTTGAAATGACAGTCCCAACAGCTAATTTTTTTCTGAGGTAATGCTTCATTCTCTGTGGAGATTCGTTCTCAATATAAAAGAAAATTTTTGTTTTAATCTAAAAGTCTTATGATTTTATCTTATAAAAGATATCTCATAGATTTAATTTAGATTTTATATATATATCATAGTAAAATTTCATATTATCTTAATATGAGATTGGAACATCACAAATTCTTTTTGTTAAAGCTTAACGTCTCCAACACAAAGTATACAGATTTATCAAATCACATTAAACATTAGGCAAACTCAACACAAAGTACACGCAGATCACAGGGTCTCAATATAAGTTGGGATTCTAGAGGTAACTCTTACCATATAACATTTAGCTCCTATAAGATTTTAGAGTTGGCTCTTACGGTGTAGCACTTAATTCTCATCAAATTAATAACTGCTTTGATATCATTTGTGGAGACTCATACCCAACTTGTAAGGTATTGTCCATTTTAACTCAAAAATCTCATGATTTTATCTCACAAAAGCCGTATCTTAAATTTAAATTTAAAACTCTACATATTAAAAACATCACACTTATTTCATACAATGTGCAATTAGTAAAAGATGCCAGATTGTTGACATGATTCATGAAAAATGCACAGGCAATTTGTTCATGCTGCTAAAATGATCAATCCGGTATCTCTTTCATGGACTAGAATTTTTACATTCATTTTTATGTTTTTGCTCCACTAACCAGGTTTAGTTTACATTATAATTAGATGTAAACTTGTACTAGTAGATCCTTGAATCTTAAGAATCTTCAGGGTGGATATGGTTGTTTCTTTTATTTGTGCCCTAGTTAAATGATAGGGGAATTATTTTAGTTCTTCAAGCCATCATGCTTTTGTCAAACTCTATTTACTTAATGAATCAGAAACCACATTAACCAATGAGGGCAATATATGCCTGCCTTTTGTAGGTTCAATCCATGCAGTTTGAATGTTTGGCCAACCACATTGCAGAGTTATCACTTCTTGAGTACACTACGCTTCATTATTCTCCAGCGCTGATAGCAGCTTCTGCTGCTTTCTTGACCAAATGTATACTCTCCTTCAAAGAAACGTTGGGTATGTCCCAAAGAAAGTTTATTTATTCTAATACTTATTCTGATATATATTTTTAATCTGATATTTATTAATTTTATCTACATTTTTATAGCTTCTATTAGCTAATATTTGTTTACTTTTCGCATCTTGTTGCACAGGATTCTATGTTGGGGCTTTACACACTATACCAACCCTCTGATTTAGGGGGTGTGTGAAGCACTATATCATCTCTGCCGTAATGGTGGTCGTGCTAATTTGCCAGCAATCAGAGAGAAGTACAGTCAGCATAATGGTGGTCGTGCTAATTTGCCACCAATCCGGGGCAAGATTTTTACTATAGCTTACCGGAGTGGGCCAAATTTCTTAGTAAAGTAAGAATCCAAGAATTTTGATCCAGTAAATATGCATTTGGTACATGAGCTGAACCTTTTTCTATACCAAACTGAAAAGTTCACCTTCACAATAAAAAGGGTAAACAACTGATTTTGTAACTTGTAAACTATTGTTGGTTATTTTAACGTTTGATGTGTGACATTTTCTCCCCTGCATCAGTACAAATTTATGGTACAGTACTGCCCTGCATCAATACCTCAGGAGTTATTCCAAGATGTTAGCAAGTAGTAGAGGCCCAATGGAAACCATCATGGTATTCAATTTGCCTTTCAATGCTCTATCTGCCGGATGTAGTAAGAATGTAAGTGTTGATTTTGTAGGCTAGGGATGGGATGGGATCTTCATTTCCTTCACAGTTTTTGGGAAAAGCAACATTGATTCTGATGATGAGTTGTACATTGTCTGTATGCCTAATCAAAAACATTTTCCTACTACTGACATAAACAACGTAGGGAAGTTTAGACCACCTATACCAGTTACTAAATTTTGTTAGTTCTGATAATTTTGGCATAATTAAAATCAAAAAGATAATTGCGCTTCAGCATTTGTGCGTAATCTTTGTTTAAAGAGCAAGATTAAAATAATTTTTTCTCCAAATCAACAAAAAGAAAGTAAATTTCTTGGGACAGTAAGTTCCAAAAACTGGTCGTTCGTTTTGGTAGAGCCCATCTGCTAATCTCATAATCCCCTGACCATTATAGAGCATAGCTACCATCTATCATACCGAAAAAGCGGGAAAAATAAAGAAAGAGAGAGAGAGAGAAAAAAAAAAAGTCGCTATAAAAGGAGAAAGAAGGAAAAGGTAAACAATTGACGCAGGCAGGAGAAAAATGGCGCCAGTATTACAGAGCTCTCAACCTTGGGTTGAAAAATAGTACAATATCTCAATCTCTCTTTCTTTCCATGATTTCATTTTTGTTTCTCTTTTTTTTAATATTTTGAAAATAAATCTATTTGCTTTTCTTTTTTGTTTGTTCTGTGATTGGGTAATAACTTTGTTTGTTCTCAGTCGGCCAAAGCAAGTGAAAGATGTGGCGCACCAAGATGAAGTGGTTCGAGTTCTCACCAACACCCTCGAGACTGCTAATGTAATTATATCTTCCCTTTCAAAATTTCCTTCTTGTTTTTCTGATAATCGTTAGTATTTGTTTGATTTTTAATTATCTTGAAAACCCTAATTCAACGCTATTTTTGAAAAATTTTTATTTTGTAGTGCCCGCATATGCTCTTCTATGGCCCTCCCGGCACCGGCAAAACCACAACCGCACTTGCCATCGCCCATCAACTCTTTGGGTATTCCTTTTTTTTTTCCCTTTCTGAAAAATTGTTGTTTTATGGGAGAGAAGCTTTGGCTTAATGCCTTCATGTTAGAATAAATTCTTGTAGCAATTTGAGAATTAGTCGGCGGCGTTCGCAATTAGAAGTGTACCCAAAATGAAGATTAACTCTTTGGTGGACTTTTAAGCTTTTATTATTAGTGCAATGATTTGTGGAAACATGTCTTCGTTGTCTAAATTTAAAAGAGTTCTGCTGAATTTATGTTCTGTCTATTAGACTCATTAATATTTGTAGATGATAGAGTCGACGATGTTACTTTGATTTCATTTTACCCTTACTGAGTGATTTTTACTTCACTTTGTTTAAATTTGATTGCAATCCAATTTTTGCAGACCTGAACTCTACAAGTCTAGGGTGTTGGAGCTAAATGCAAGTGATGACCGTGGGATCAATGTTGTTCGTACTAAGATCAAAGATTTTGCTGCTGTTGCTGTAGGGTCTGGTCAGCGTCAGGGGTATGCTATTATATATATATATATATATATATATATATATATATTATAAATAAAAGGCTTAATACCCAAATATGTCCTCGAACTTAAGTAAAAAATGGAATTAAGCCACCGAACTTTATTACATGTAAATAAGACTAAAATCTTTTATTTTTCTGTATGTATAACTATTAACTTTCAAAATCAATAAAAAAAAAGTTCAATTGAATTAGCTGAACAGTAACTGCCGATTTCTCACACAGTTGGCAAATACGTGGCAATATGATGTGGAAAATAATGCACACATGGCATGAATGATGTGGCATTTTAGTCCAAAAAAATTGGACTGATTTTCATTGATTTTCATTGGAAGTTTATGGTTATATATAATATATAGAAAAATAAAAGATTGTAGCCTTATTTACATGCAATAAAGATCAGGGGCTTAATTCTAGTTTGAACTAAAGTTCGATGGCATATTTGGCCATTAAACTTAAATAAAATTATTTCCACTTTGGTCTACAGTTGTTCATTTGCCTCTTTTATGTGTACCAATTATCTTTTTCTTCCTTTGTGTTTTTCTAGGGGTTATCCTTGTCCACCATTCAAGATCATTATTCTTGATGAAGCAGATTCAATGACAGAAGATGCTCAGGCATGTGTTGTTTTCATAGCCATCGTGTTATTATTCACCTTGTATAGGCACATGTTTATTTCATTTTATTAAACATGACTCTGCAGAATGCTTTGAGACGTACCATGGAAACTTACTCAAAAGTTACACGATTCTTTTTCATATGTAACTACATAAGCAGGTATATTTTCTTCTTTTATTTTTTCCTCAAGTTTCCTTTTTCCCTTTTTAACCATAGGTTTAATTTGGTAAAACTTTTAGCACTATACTGCTACAATTTACTTGTAGATCACTATAAAAATTAGATAATTGGTAATTCTTAAACATTTTGTTATTGAATTTCCATAGGATTATAGAGCCACTTGCTTCAAGATGTGCAAAGTTCAGGTTCAAGCCACTTTCAGAAGAAATCATGAGCAGTCGTATATTGCACATTTGTGATCAAGAAGGCCTCAATTTAGATTCAGAGGTGTGAACCTGGTGTCTTAAAGCTTGTTGTATGAGTAATTCTTTGTTAAATGGCTTCTTTACTAAATATTTGATGATTCACCATAGGCTCTTTCAACATTAAGTTCCATTTCACAAGGTGATCTTCGTCGGGCTATTACATACTTGCAGGTAAGCAGTAGATTGCAATACATTCCCAGTATTTTTGAAATTGTGATGTTTCTAATTCTCTATGCTCTTGTACTATAGTTTTCTTTTTGACAATTTGGTTGCATACTTGTGGCAACTAACCCTACTTTCTCTTCTGCTCACTGCCCGGTTTAGTGGGCCTTAGTTTGTTTAGCTGCCTTGTAGATGATACTTTCCAGTGAGGGGGTTTACCCTCAATTCCTACCATGCATCTGTAATTGTTTGGTTCTAAAATATGATTTCTAACTGCATTCCAGCCATCATTAAAAATTATGGTTATTAATTGGTCAATTCCTAGAATGACGTGCTCCATGTATATGTTAATTGGTCATGCTGGTCAACTGGCCAGATCTCTCATCCTTTTGCAGATGATGAATATTGTGTTATGGAATATTGCAGGGAGCTGCGCGCTTGTTTGGATCGTCAATTTGTTCCAAGGACCTAATTAGTGTGTCTGGGGTAAGTTATATGATACATTGACACTTAATTTCCCAATGCTTAGTAAATTTACTCTACAATTTGCATTGGTTGATATTAGGCCTTTATAGATTTATTTTTGAACCAATCATTTTTTAAACCTAGATAGATAGTTTGGGAAAAACTGCAAAAATAAGCAAGGGAAATTTACTCCCAAAGAGGGCCTTTTTTTATATTTAGACTGACCAGAAGATGTTCAGTCTTCAGATTGAATTCAAAATTGAACTTCTGTATTTTGTGTTTCTCTATGTTGGCCACCTTTATGGATGAAACAACTAAGGGCTTGTTTTGAGATGTTTTTGTTCACTTTTTTGGAAATTGGAAACAGAATTATGTTTGGTGGGTTGTTTTTGTTTTAAGAACCAAAAATTGAAAACAAAATTTTGGAAATTGTTGGAAGTAAAAAAAAAAAAAAAAAAAATTGATGTTTTCAATATTTTGAAAACATTGCAATCATTGTTACTACACAGATGAACAATACCTGTAAGTCAACAGTATCAGTTTGAATGCCAAAATATTGAAAGATGACCATCAAAGCTGCCAAAAATTTGGATTCAAGCCCCTGCCAATTTGCTCAACCCATGCCTTCAACCACATCTCTTAATGGTCTGTTGTCTTAAGACTTTTGCAACAAAAATATAATTTTCAAACATGTTTTCAACTTCAAAAAAATGGAAATAAAACAAAACAAAATGTTCAAAAACATAAAACATAAAACTGGTAACAATACCAAACGTTCACTAAGCCAGTTGTCTTCTGATGTGACTTTTTCTTTCTTGAATTTTTTGAAAAGAAATTTTTATGAAGAAGAACAAACATAAAATTTTACAATTAGTCACCTTTTTCCTTTTTCTGTTTTTGTTCTATCTAATTGACTTTGGCATGCCTTAATACTTAAATTTCTATGTATCAGGTTATCCCTCAAGAAGTTGTTGATGCACTTTATGCCGCATGCAAAAGCGGTAACTTTGATTTGGCAAACAAGGAAGTCAATACTGTGATTGCAGAAGGGTATCCAGTTTCTCAGATGCTTTCTCAGGTCCAGTTTCTTTATTTTCATCCATGCTTACTCACCATGGTTAATTGCTAGATATATCTGATGCTTAATATAATGCTTCTTCCAGTTATTTGATGTGGTTGTTGAGGCAGATGATATACCAGATGAACAGAAAGCTAGAATTTGCAAGTGTTTGGCTGAAGCAGATAAGGTTAATTTCACCACATAAACTTAGTTCTGTTGGTTGTCTGCTGCAAATTTTTTAGCTTTGGTCATTATAGAAACTGAAGTGAGATCTACTTCTTTGGTTTTTTCCCCATAAAAAATCATATCTATTGTGTCAAAATTAGATGTTTTTCTTGGTTGGTTAATATAGCCCAGCAATGAAAGCTAAGAAATAGTAGGGCTGACTGGATCTTTTTAAAATTTGTCTGAACTTGTGCGACTCTGCTATTTTTCAGTAATCCTATTGAGTGCTACCTTTCTTTGTATTAAACTGATTGAAATTTGGTTTACTACTCATAACCAACAGCAAATTAACTGAGTACTGTTAAAGTTGGCAGGTTAATTTATTTTCTTCCTTTCCCCATTTCCCCCCCTGGACACTATCATACTCAATGGTTTTCTTTACATCATCCGAGAAGTGCTAACTATTTTCTTTTGGGTTGTTGTGTAAAGGAAAATCCACTTATACTAATCAGTTTATTGGTGTAATACTTATATTTGCTCATTGGCCTGCAGCGTCTAGTTGATGGTGCAGACGAGTACTTGCAGCTGCTGGATGTGGCCAGCAACTCAATGCGAGCTTTGTGTAACATGCCACAGGAATTCTCTTTTGAAAGTTAGCGGGACAGCCTAGATTGGGATGCAGGGACTTTTCAAGACAAGGAGAGATTCAACTTTTTAGAGATTCAACTTTTTGAATTGTAAAGTTTTGCATATTGCAACAAAACGGCTTTTCAAACATTGTATTATGCCTGTTATTCACCGAAGATGGGTGGCCCACCCTTTTGAATCTCTTGTCACTTTAACATGGATTTTGTATGTTAAATATGATCTCTCTTTAACTGATCTATAATTTAATGCTAAAGACGATGAGTTCTTGGCAGGCACTCCTGTTTTGCATGCTGCTTCTTATTAAAACAGCAATACTTATTTGATATAGTGAAAAAAAATCATGAAATGGGGGACCAAATTACTTTTCTGTTGTCGATTGCTATCATAATTGTGAGACTGAGAGTAATAAGGTTGTTTTCCATTTGAACCATTGAAGTTACTTTAAGGTTGCGTAATGAATGCAAAAGCAGGGGAGGAATAGCCCATTCCTACCGTTTGCAACAGGCCTTTCGCATGTGTCATGGCATATCATGACAAATATATTTGAATGGAGAAAAATCTCAGTGCAGCTCTTAGTGACGATGTCCAGTGGAGCCCAAAAGCTAAATCTCCATAGCTCATTTGCACTTAGCTGTTCTGGCTGGCTATGGAACTTATGACTTTATCAGGTTTGGTCTCTGATGTTAAGATTGCCCCTTGCAACAAACAGTTTTTAGATTTTTACCATTCTAATTTGACAATTCAAAAACCCAAATCAAGAGAAAATCCCTCCTCTAATTTCGAATTCTATGCTGAAAAGTCCAGCTCTAGAGCTGACATATGTTTGAATCTTCTGCCTCATCATTCACTTTCTTCTGTTTTTATGATTTAAAATGCCTTGGCCTCTATTGACCCTTAAAGTCAAACTCAAATACGTGCATCAACCCCACCAGCCCCACCTTCATGCCTTTAATCCCGCCGAGACTAAACTTTCCTTCATCCCTAGCTGCCACCCAACTATATATAAAGGCCTGGACTCACTCCAGATAATGAAAGCTTGTTTAATGATCTGTTGCTTTTACTCTTTATATATACTTTGGTAGTTATTTTCCGTTGAAGAAATGGCAGTAGATGATTCCTTCAAAAAGCCTGGAGCTGTTCCCTTTAAATGGGAGATCCGACCTGGTGTTCCCAAGGTCCAACAACAGCAAAAACAGCACGAACAATCACTACCACAGAAACAGAAGCCACAAAAGCCTAAGCAACCACCACCACCATTGCCACCACCAGCATCACCTTTTATAAACCAACGTTCATTGCCAACTCCAGCCGGAGCTAGTCCTCGACAAAAACTTAAACCCCCACCAGCTGGATCCTACTTGCTCTTAACTCCTGAGCCCAGAAGTCACTCTTTTAGGTCTACCCCACGTGCCCGATCCGAGCGTTGGCGGTTTGATCAACCCACCCGGCTCGGACCCGAATGTGTTCCACCCGGGTGCTTCCCATCACCATTGCTTAGGCAGAAAGGAAGCAAAAGGAGGACCCAAAAACCCGAACCCGACTATGTTTTGGACCTTGAGACGTTGTCCCGGTGGTCGGTTTCGAGTCGGAAGTCACTTTCACAGTTCTATAGCTCACCGGCATCATCTTTTTCATCATACAGGTCATCGCCCCGACCCGTGGCTGATGCTGATTGGGCAGGGTTTGGACTTTTTTGAAAGAAAAAAAAGTTTGTATAGTTTTTCTAGGATAATCAATTAATCATGCCTTTAATATAAAAGGTTTGCAATGTTGTTAGATCTGGTTATTTGATAGCCGAAAGTGGAATGTGACATGGGTTTGGTACCATTTCTTCCTATCACAAGCCCAATGATGTGATGCCAAGGAAAATGGAACTCCTCCCAAGTTTTTATTGTAATTCAAGAGTGAGGTTTTAATACTATATCAGTTTACTTTTGGTTATTACAAATGCTAATATTTGTTCAGCACCTTCTCCTCTGGTTTTGATCTACCAAAAGGCCTAAACTTCCGATCCTAATTTCTACGCTGTAAGTCGTACTATATTCGTCTTCTTCTGATTATTGTCGATATTGCTCGTGCCAATGCTATCATTTCTTTTAACACTTTAAAAACCAATTTCAAAATTTGTGGGCCGATTAAGGGAATTAGGCCCTTATGATCATTAATAAGCAACACCAATGTTTTAACCTTCTTAAAGTTTGTTTGGCAGTGGTTATGCATAACTGTCATTATCTTATCACCCTCAAACTTGCATGCCTTCCCTACGAAAGAACAAAAACAATTGGCAGAGTGGATTTCTAAGTTTTCTAGGGTTTACTAATTGAAATTTTAGCATAAACATGAAGCATGGGCCTTTTATGCAAACCTTCCAACATCTTATTTTTACATATATTTACAAATTAATTTGGTTTTAGTTTACTTTTGTATGAGATTTTTTTTTTATTAAAAAAATTCAAACTTTGTTTGTTGAGCAAATAATAATGTTACAATTGCTTATCAAATTATATTTTGTTTTTTTTTTTTCTTGAATTATTAAACTAGACAAGATTGAGTATGAATATTTGACTATTAAGAGGTCATACACTTAACTATTCAAAGCATCGTATGGCAGTTGTTGAGCGGATATGAGACTCTATACCCATTTGGTGAGATTATGATTATACTACTCCAATTCAATTCTTTATAAAGCGAGTGTGAAGTAATATATCCATGCCAAGTTATATTGCTTCACAATCGCGTAGTCAAGAAAATTTTTTTAGTGGGTCAAAATGTTATTATATTTATGCGGATATATATTTCTTTGTTTATTTTTTTAAAATCTTTTAAAATTATTTTTTTGATTTTTCAAACAACTAATATTTTTATTTTTTTATTAAATCTAGTAATTCGTACTTTCATATCATATTTATATGAATTATAAAACGTATTTAAATCTTAAATACGAATAAGATATATTTATTATCCGTATTATACGCAACATGACATGATTAATATGTGTATAATTAATTTGTTTAAACACGACATAAATAAATATGAACAAACATGAATAATATAAATATACATAAATAGACACAACTAATATAAATAGATACGAATAGACATAATTAATATGAATATATATAAAAAATAGAGTTAAAATAATAAATAATTATAACCTATCAATTATTTACAACTTAATAAATTTTATATATTAATAATATAAAAAAATAATTGCATATTAAAAAAATAAAAAATTTGATATCCATTTAATATGTATTTAATATATATTTAAATTTTAATATATATTACATAATTATATTAGTTTTAGTGTCAAATTCAAAATGATGAACTATTAAAGATTAAAAAATAAAAAAATAGTGTATAAGACTAATATTAATATTTATATTATTAATATAAAAATAAATTTATAATAATTATTAAATGAGTATCATAATTAAATATTTAAAATAATTTTTATATGATATTAATAGCTAATTAAGTATCATGATTAAAAAATAAAATAATAAAATAATTTTTATATGTTTATATTAAATTAGAATAAATATAAAAATATGTTAAACATATTAAATATGTACTCATATAATAAGATAAATTAAACGTATTTATTACATTGTATCACGTGTTAAAATATATATTTGTATAACACGTTTTATCTAAATTTATTTTTCATATTGTACATGTGTTTAAACGTGTCAACATGTATAAGACATGAATTGTGTGGTATTGAAATTCATATCGATAAGAATAAACACGAAATATATTTTTTTAAAATATGTATATAAGTTTTTTATATTATTTTCATATCATATCATCGTATCGTATTTGAAATTATCAAGTCTACTTTTAATCACCCAATACTTTATATATATATATATATTTTACATTAATTTTTCAAGATACTTTATATATATATATATATTTCACATTAATTTTTCAAGATTTTTATTTACCTTTTTACTTATAAAATTTATGGAACACCACCAATTTTTTAAAAAACTTTAGAATATAAACGATTTTTTAAATTTCTATGGAAGTAAAAAATATACAAAAAGGATGTGAGAAATATTATCTTTTAAAATACAAAAAATATATCAATATAAAGTTTTTCTTGCATAATTTTTTAATAACAACAAATGTTATTACAAAACATCAAGTAAAAAAAAGCAAAAAATAAAAAGACAATTATCTAATAGGAATAGATTTTAAATTTCCTAAAGTTAACATGTATTCATTAAAATATATTTTAAAATAACAAATTAATTCATTATTAAATGAACATATAACGATCATCCAATTTTGCTTATAAAATTTAAAAACTCCTTCAGAGAATATAATAATAAAAAAAAATTCTTTCACAATTATCATGAAAAGTTTTCATATTTTTAAAATTGTTGAATAATTGTTTCATCATTAATATACCAAGCATATTTCTTTCGATATACGTAATCAAATAATTATTTATCAAATTATTTTTTATTAGTTTAAATAATAATATTTTAACTACTTTCATTGTTTGAAATTTCTTTTGCATACTTATATTGGTAATTGACAAAATAAAAAATAGTGGATAAGTAATAATATTTTCTTTGCTTTCACCACTTCTTTTTGACTAATTATTTTGAAACAAAAATTAATATGTACACTCTATTTTTCATTAATTATATACTTACCTCACATTCTTTTACAATATTTTACTATAATATATAATTAATTCTCAAATTTTCTTTTCAATAAGATAAATTTATCTTCAAATTTTCTATGTAATGGGGTTATCTTATCTTCTAATTTTATTTTTTGTTGAATCAATTTGTGATTATAATATACTAATACATATATGAGTTTATATTTGATATATTACCTATATATAAAGTCTATACACTATTAATGAATCAATAATATCATTTTATTAATAAATAAATATACAAAAAATTAATATTTTATTTATTAATGAGTTGGCATTATTTAATTCTTCTCATTAATGATGTGATATTATCATATTTACTATTAATATATAAAATTTATACAATAATAATATATCAAATATCAATTCTACATATATTATTAAATTTTTTTAAATTTAAGTGGAAACAATCCGGCTATGCCATAGTCCAAGTGAAGTAATATAAATATGGGCTTCATCCTGCTATTTACAATTAATTATTAGCTTTAAATGTTCAAATTAAAATTAAATTGACCAAATCTATTATTTACTTCAAATCAAAATTTGGATTAAATATAAAAATGATCTCTAAATTATACATTTTTTGATAATTTAGTGTCTAAAGAAATAAAATTATTAAATTGGTATCTAAATTTGCATTCCGTTATTATGTTGATACTCAAAACTGACGTAGTTAATTAGATTTATTGATATGACATGAATATCCAATAAAATATTGATACGTGTTAAAAAAATTTAGTCAATATCACATCATCAATACTACATCAATATAAAAAGAAAAATTCAAAAAAAAATTAAAAATTTTCAAAAATTCTAACAAAATTTTAATTAAAATTTTTTTCAAAAAATACTAAAATTTTCAAAAAATTATAAATTTTTTAAAAAATATTTTTAAAAAATTTTAAAATTAAAAAAAATTAAAACTATTCTAAAATTTTTTTTTAAAATTCTAAAACATTTATAAAATTTATAAAAAAATTTTAAAATTAAAAAAATCTCAAAAATTTAAAAAAAAATTTAAAAATTTCTAAAAATTTTCAAAAATTCTAAAAAAAATAAAACAATATTAAAAATTTTTTAAAAATTTTTATGATGTGACGTTGACAAGATTTTTTTTAATACATATCAGTCTCTTACTGAATATGCATATCACATCAATAAAGTTAACTAATAGCATTAATCAAAAATATCAATATAATAATGTAATGAAAGTTTAAGTATCAAATTGACAAGTTTATTTTTTTAAGTATCAAACTAACAAAAAGTGTATAATTTAAAAACCATTTTTATATTTAACTCTCAAAATTTTAAATTTTTTTATACTTAACATATAAAATTTTTTTTATGAAAATTAACAATGTACAACACCTTATGTTAAAATACATAAAGTTGTTTTAATCAATTATAATTCAAAATTACGTAAATTTTATTAAAATTTTATATAAAATTTATATTTATAAATGATAAACTTTTACTTATTTTGATTTATTAATTATAATATTATAATAAAAAATTTATAAATAATATGCTTCAAAAAATTAAAATAATAAAAGGACAAGTAAATTTTGTCCATGACATCACATGTGATCAAATTAATTTTTTTTTGAATATTTTCATTTTCTTACTGGGACAATGATTAAAAAAGAAAAACTGGATTTGCATCCCTGATTCTTTGCCCTACCGTGCTCCTCCGACACCACCACAACACTGTCAAACTACAAGCTTACTCAAAAAAAAAAAAAAGCATTAGAAGTCTATTCGCTTTAAGTTCTACGTTCTTCTGCTGTTGTATGAGCACCCTCTAAAAGAAAAGAAAAGGAAGGAAAAACCCAAAACTGAGCAAAATTCAATTGAAAGATGATTCAAACAAACCGCAGCTACAACGCCATAGTACACCAAGTAATATCAATAATGCTCCAAAACCGACCCTTTGATGCCCAACTCGCTTCTTCAACAACCTCAAATCCATGGACGACAGATTCAGTTTCAGACATCTTAAGATCCGTTCCAAAATTCTTCTTCCAATCCCCTCGTTCCATTGGCCGCCAGAAAGGCTTCCGCCACCGTGCTCCTTTAAAGCAAAGATATCTCAAACAAGAAAATTTTAAGAATTCCCACAATGTTCTTGTCCTTGGCCCTGCTGCTTATAGAGACACCAAAAGGGTAGTTTTAGGATTAGATAAAGCAATGGATTTCTATTTCTGGGTAGAAAACTTTTTTGGGTTTGCCCATGATGTGAAAACTTGTAGAGAAATGGCCTTTGTTTTGGCTAAAGGTAATAACTTGAAGGGTCTTTGGCATTTTCTCAAGGAAATGTCCAGGAGAGAAAATAGGGGGCTTGTTACTACTTCTACTGTCACCTGTTTGATTAAAGTACTAGGAGAAGAAGGGTTAGTTAAAGAAGCATTGGCTTGTTTTTATAGAATGAAGCAGTTTCATTGCAAACCTGATGTTTTTGCTTATAATACGATTATTCATGCCCTTTGTAGAGTTGGGAATTTTAATAAAGCAAGGTTCTTATTGGAACAAATGGAGTTACCAGGGTTTAGATGTCCACCAGATTTGTATACTTACACCATTTTGATAAGTTCATATTGTAAATTTAGCATGCAAACTGGATGTAGAAAGGCAATTAGGAGAAGGCTTTATGAGGCGAATCACTTGTTTCGTGAAATGTTGTTTAAGGGTTTTGTTCCTGATGTTGTGACTTATAATTGTTTGATTGATGGTTGTTGTAAGACAAATCGAATTGAAAGGGCTTTGGAACTTTTTGAAGATATGAATAAAAGGAATTGTGTTCCTAACCGTATCACCTATAATTCTTTTATTAGGTACTATTGTGCTGTTAATGAGATTGATAAGGGTATTGAGATGATGCGGAGGATGCAACAGATGAATCATGGGGTAGCGGCAAATAGTTCTTATACTCCGATTATACATGCTCTGTGTGAAGCGGGAAAGGTGCTGGAGGCCAAGGATTTTCTTTTTGAGTTGATTGGAGGGGGATCTATTCCCAGAGAGTATACATATAAGCTAGTTTGCGATGCACTGAATTCAGTAGGAGCAGCCAATTTGATAGACAATGAGTTGCATAAAAGAATAAGAGATGGTATAGAGAGCAGATGTAAACAAGTGATGAAGGTGAAACAAGTAAAGAGTCGCATAACGAAAATGAGGATTGTGGAGGAAGTTTAATTTCCAGGAAGAACTAATCATGCTCAACCATGCAAAGCACAGCAGGCAAGAAGAAGAATTTAGTTGTTTGTTGGGGCATCCTGGTGGTAAGTATTAGAGAGTAAATTGAATTTCCTTTCTGCTTAACAAATGTAGTTTATTGTTTGAGACTTCTGAGTTTCAAGTTTTAAGCAGTTTTACTTACCATCTTGTCCTTCTAAACATTCCCGCATTTTTATTTTGATAGTATTTTCTATTGAATTCCCCTACTTCCAAGCTATCCATCTAGTGTGTGTCCTTGTATACAACAAAAAAATTGTTAACAACAATTTCAATCAAACAGCTTTTTCCTGGGGATTTTTATCAATACAGAGCATTTCTTTCTATTTCCTCATCCCTTTTACAATACATAGTATACACCTCACCTCTTCGATGATAATTATGGGCTAATGGCTTTTGTTGAAAATAATTCGGTTCTAAACTTTTTTTTTTTTGAAATTTCAATTGAAAAAAATTAATAAAAAAGGAGATCCCAGTTAACTCTACATATTTTTAGTAGCATAACTGGAAAGTCAAAGCTATTCCTAATTACACTTTTAGGATCATTACTTCAATTCCTTGAATAAAGCTTGTTGATTTCAATTTCAGATGCACAAAGAATCTGCTCTTTCTATTCCCTCCGAGTTTCTATTATTAGAATGTTTGGTTGGTTTCATCAAGGCAGTCATTACTCTTTGAGTATCCTTAGAAACCGACCATGTTAGATGCCCTTTTTCTTCACTATATGATCCTTCACATATCTTGTTGCTTGCAGAAAGGAAACTAAGAGTGAAGTCTCCAGTGAGAGAAGAACACTGTTGAGATATGTGTTATCTCCTCTCTTTCTGTCCTTGTGACATTATTTTTCCTTGTCATTTGCTGCTTCAAATGCATGATCAAGAAAAGCAAAGGTACTGTTAACAACCATGGAGTTCGCCACACTGGTGGAGATGGTGCTAATCCAGGTGTGACCATTAATGCAGTAGGTGTTAATAGTGGCATGACTTCCGGTTGTGCTCGTGGGACTGGCAGTGACAATGGCGAAGGTGGCTGTGGTGGCAATGATGACGGTGGAGGAGAAGCATGTTGTGGAGGTGGTGATGGTTGCCAAGCTGGGCTATGATAATATGCTATTGGTGTTCTGGAAAAGGAGGAAAAATAATAGAACTGCTGTTATGGGAATATAAAGATATCATTGTTTCTTTCATCTTTTACCCCCCCTTTTTTCTCCTCAACTGATGTACCAGTTTGATATTATGAATTTTAAATTTCAATGGTATTAAGTTATGATTGCGGTGCTTTATATAAGGTTGATACGTTGCTTATACATGAGGTGAAATTAGCTGATTCTGAAAACTCTGGGGCAGTAAAATTAAGAATTAAATTGGGCTTTTAATTCTCATCTCTATATATGTAAATTCTACTTTGTTGATGATGGCAAGTTTCATTGCCTACCCGAAGAAAATCTAAAAAATTATCAGGCACATCTTGATCCATCATGCTGGGGGCTTTTATAGTTTTATTTGTAAGTTCCCCTTTGGTTTTCTTTGAAAAGAGGTATGTTTTCAAGGTTATTCATTTTGCTAATGGTTGTTCTTTAGATATGGGGCCTTATTCCACAGTTTGGGTGGTTCATATATGTATATATATATATATATATATATATATATACATATATTAAATACAGAATTACTAGTATTTGTGTTGTTACGAATTCATTATTTATTTCTATGCAGTTTATTTGTGGTTATTAATTTATGCATAAATGTTAAAGTCCTATGAAAATTAGACTTGTGATTTGTGATAATTGATTTTTGTGTTTTCCTCCTCTTGAAGGTTTTTAATTATTGCCTAATTATGTTTACACTATGTTTGGATTGAGGGGAGGGAAAAGAAAGGAAAGGAAAATAATGAAAACAAAAAAATCATTCATTTGTTTGGATAAATTTTTAGTTTAAAAGAAAATAAAAATGCAAAAATTCACTATATTTTGATTTCTTTTATAATCTTCACTTTTTTAATACTCTAATTTGAGAAAAAAATTAAAGAAAGGAAAGTTGAAAAAATTTTATTTTTATAAAAAAATTGTTATATTCAAATTTTTATCATGATATTAGATTTAATTGTATAACTAACATTTTTACAAAAATAATTTTTTCTAATGAGTATTTTTTATAATATCACAGTTTATAAATATTTTATAATTTTTTAAGTCTTAGCAATAAAATAAGTCAAATTATTGTCAAAATAAATTAAAAACTTAAATTGATATAAAATTAAGAATAAATCAATAACTAGTTAATAAATCTTACTATATTAAACATGTTCAATTTTATTTAGAAAGATTTGTTTATACAAGCTTGGTAGTATAAAAATATATTTATATATTATTTGTTATTTTATTAAAAGAAAGTTATAATTAAAAAATATATATTATAGTAAATTTTTGTATTATTATCTAAACAATGATTGTTAGAATTTTTTTTATTAATTTTAACTATTCAAATAAAAGGGTATATATATCTTTTCTTTCCTTTTAAGTTTTTTTTTTATTTATATGTATTCAAATATAGCGATAATATTTTATTAGAAGCGGTAAAATAGGCTAGTAAACCTATCATGAGCCGTGTCAACATGGCTCCTCTTGCTATTATAATGGATTGTGCTTGGCATGAATTTTATCGTAGTGTTGGATTGGATCTAAGTTTTTTGCCTATAAGTTGGCATGGTAAGGCCCATGAGATGGCACGTGACAAGGTCCTACATGGCACAATTAATATTTTTTTATTTGATTCCCATGCGTTACATCTAAAAACTTTAAGTTAATCAGTGTTTGTAAAATTTATTTAATGAATACAAAATCTCTCTTTTCTACGAAAACAAGCATTTTAAGTCAAATCATATAAATTATATGTCAGTTTTTATCACTTTTACTTTTTTTTTATAATTATAATTTCATAATTATAATTTTAAAATAAAAATTTATATTTAATATACTGTCAATATATAAATTTTATATACTGTCAATAAATAAGATGATATCATTTATTACTTAATAAAATTTTTAAAAAATATTAATTTTTATATATTTATTTTAAAAATTATTATTTATTTATTAATAAAATGATC